AATCCGGTCTCAGGAGGGCTATGGGCCGAAACGATTGCCATATTCGGATTCAGTGCACTTGATTACCTATTGTCCACTACCTTACGGCTCAAAAGCGATTTATCAGTTGGTGTCCTTCCCTCGTAAGTGTTAGATAACGATTCCACATATTAGAATATCAACCCACGTTATTTCGAATTTTAGTGTATGAAAATCGGCGTTATCACGCATCCACGCAAAAGTGACCCAATTTTTTGAGTTATTAATCTAGGTTCAGCTCCACGTGCATCTAGATGTACGTGAAGATGAATCCAGATTAATAGGCCAAAAAATTGGGTCGGTTTTGCTTGGGATACAGAGGACATCTATTTTCTTTTAGTTTCTCACTTTTCAGTAAGTAATATCAGTTTGTCGCAAGAAGTATGCAGACATAGTCAGAAAAATTCTGGTGAGACCATCATTTTCTCATATTTTGTTTTTATGCGTAAATATAAGAAAAGTAGTACAGGTATTAACCATTTTCTCATAGTTTCGGAGAGCTAAAATGTTTATGGTCAGTGGTACTGATGATGTGTTTTCTATTCTAGTTGACCGGTGATATCATTATGTTTGACAATTTTAACTTCTTCAATTCTACTGAAGCTTCGTTTCACTTTACATTAAAACGAGTTGGTGTTTATTATACGTTCCTGATCTTCATAGTGGGCTTCATTGGAAATTCACTGTCTTGTCTTGTATTTTTACGCGCTGGATTGCGGTAACATTTTTGTAGTACTCTCCTTCCTTTAACTGAATCCTAATTTCTTTCTATACTTTTTAGTCAATTGGGTTGTAGTTTTTATTTGATAGCTTTATCAATATCAGACAATGGTTATCTATTATGCCTTGCTATCATATGGTTGGAAAATATTAATATTCAAATATTTCATATCAATATAGTTTGCCAAATTACTGTGTATTTCACAACACTGTGCAGTTCATTGTCTGTCTGGTGAGTAACTCTTCTCCTTTTTTTTGTTAATATGAAAATTTTTGTTTTGATATTATAATTTGCAATTTGACATGAGAAGACTGAATGAAACAAGATCGCAAACGGGGATAGTAAAGCGATGTTTTCTATTGTCTATAGAGAAAGGACGAAAATAAAATTATGACATTTTATTCCATAAGTAATTTTGCTTTTATCTTAAATTCAGAAAGTAAAACGAATAGTTATGAGTTTTAATCTAATCTTAGACTCATTATGTGAACGATTAAAACTGAATTATTTTCTACTGTTTCTCGTAGCATAAAAATTTTAAAACCAATGCGGCTATCATATTAAGAAGTTTAATAAAAAGTTTTAATCAAATAACTTTGCCCATAAACTCGTAGTATGTCTTGTAACACGTTAACTGCCGAAGAAATCATATATATGATACTCACTCGTTTTGGATTAGATTTTATCTTTTTACTAAATGTCGTATCGTACCTAAAAATCAAGTTTTTAGTTATTGTTCGTATCAGTCTGAAAAATGGTATGACCTTTCTGCATATAATACTGCTGATCTCTTAATAAGTAATACTAGCAGGTAAATCGTCAATGATAAAAGGCAGATCATCAAATACAATACAAACTGTTGTTTGTAACATAAAGTTGAATCAGTCGAATGTAAAAATCAAAGAAGAGATTTGCTATGTACGCATGATTATATCTTCATAATCGCTCCATGATTCTCGTCATATCTAGCTCTTTAGAATGTGAATATATGAAACACTTACAATAATAATAGAAGATCATGACATTCTGGTAAAATGATGTTACTTCTTCGATAGAGCTGCCATGTTCATAGTGACATTAAGTCGTCAGAAGTATGTTTTCTCTTTCTTTTCGACCTACATTCATTGGATGAGATCGTGAGTACAGTACATATGAATTAGGTGCGCAAATCAAAAACAACTGCCAATAATTACGCAAAAATGGGCATTAACCGGTGACTATCAAACGCTTGTTTTCAGCCTGTTTCTTGGTCGTTAGAAAATCGTCACTTTTAGACATTAATACGTTCTGAGTTATGCCGAAAAATGATCAATAAAAGGTGTTAACTAGCTAAAAAGCGTCATTTAAGTCACATTTTGTGGGATGTTAATAGACAATAGATTATACTGTTTTCAATGTCCTGGGTATCTTTGGCAAAAGAAAGACGTTTCAGTATATTCCAGTGAAGATCTCTACAATTTCGATACGATTATTGATGAAACCAGTGTTAAACGTGAAAGTTGAGAATTCTTTCAAATTTTAAACTGTTAGTGAATGTATACACTGCATCATTAACGGAATCCATCACTTACTTTTATTCTCTTCTTTTCAGGTTTACGTTAGCCTTTACTACTGAACGTTTTGTTGTTGTTGCATATCCTCTCAAACGCAACTGCTATCGTTCAAATGCTCGAGCTCATATCGTCATTTTGTGTATCACCGTTGTAGCCTCCGTATTATATTCATCGACATTCTTCACAACTGGTATTGAACTCACCAGAAGCACATCGACTGTCATGCCCATTGTATCCGTTAATCGATGTGCAACGTTTCACCGATGGATCACTTTCACTCGCCGAATGAATATATTTGATGTTGTTGTCACATTTATTATACCATTTATAGGTATTGTTGTATTCAATTCAATTATCATATACAAATCACAGGAGTACAATGGTCTGTTAGATAGAAATGATGTAGACTCTACAAGTGGTTTAAATCACATGATCGAACAGAGGGCAAAACGGTCAACGTATCATAAACGAATGACAAGAGTGGCATTAATCATTAGTTTCACCTTTCTCTTATTGAATACACCACTGCATGTGCTGAAAGCATATTATTTTCAGTTTAGTCCACCAGATGTTGATGATAAATCATTAACAGAAAGTATCATTGAGCAGTTTACATTTTATTTGTATTACACCAATTTTAGTATCAACTTTTTTCTTTATTCACTGTGCGGTGAAAATTTCCGTACGTCGCTTGTACAATTATTTCAGCGTAAACGATCAACAACAACAATAATGGTCAAAAACAGGACTTGTCAAAAAAATCAAGTTAGAAACACCTTTGCTGGCCATGCTCTTGGTCGCCGGGATACGGGTGATATACAAAGACTAGAAAATCTTTTACATGGGATAAATGCAAGTAACATTACTGTGCGCTGTGAACAAATATTAACAAAAGTGGCTGAGATTGATCGAGATGTGAGTTCTGCCAATCGCCGGAATTTGTCAACGATAGTTAAATATTATCACCGTAGAAGTAAAACACATAAAACAAACATTGTAAAAGTTAAATTTCAATCACAGTCACATTTATGTTAAGCACAACCGTCTGCATGTCTATAATTTATTTTATTTTTGTTCTGACTTATATTATTTATTTTCGTTGTCTTTTAGTTTTTTTCATAAGTGAACAAAACAAGATTTCGAAGCTTTTCAAATAGATGGTTTCTAAAACTTGAAAATCGTTTACAAATACTCAATCTATTAAACCGTAGTTTTCAGCAAAATACACTTGTAATAAAATGGTTCCATCACTAACTTTAGGTTTAATTTTCTCGAAATATGAACTTTGTTCTCACTTTACATAAACGTAAAACAAATAATGTTCTATTTTCGATTGTAAAAGTTGAATAGCATCATTGACTGTTCCTTCAAATTCTTATTTTTTCAGCTCTTCTCAGGGCCGTAAATTGCGGGTGTGTGTGTAGGGGGGATGTACACACACACACACACCAAAAATCAAAATTTGTCCTTTCTACAGTGGGAAATTTTGGCTAGGCACGTGGATATGTGCTAGAAAAGCGGTACGAAAGTCTCTAAGCACTGCTTTTATAGATTTTCGTATACGCTCTTTTCAATGGCACAGTCTTCAAACTTCCGGAGTATGTTCGAACTGGTTTTTCAGAGATCGAATCTCTGGAAAACCGGTACAAACCTACTTTGAAAGCTTGAAGACTGCGCCATTGAAAAGAGCGTATACGAAAATCTATAAAAACAGTGCTTAGAGGCTTTCGTATCGCTCTTCTAGCACATGTCCACGTGCAAAGTCAAAATTGCTATGTCAATACGCTGCAACCGTCACATTACCCAAAATCGAAACATTTTTTATTCAGAAATACCTCAAATACACATCTTTAGATTCAGTTTTTCACGCTGATTCCAAATCTGTCATTAATTTTGCGAAAAACTGCTTTGGAAGCGAGAAAATCGCGAAAAATCTCTCGAAAATCCTTTTTTTTTTTGAAAAAATGTATCTCCATGAAGAAGCGCTTGTGCTAATTCTACAAACTTGTCACATATTGACGAACATTTCCTGGAAGTTTCATTCTATTTGGAGCTTGGGGCAAAATGCGGGATAAACTATACTGAACACACCTTGAGAAACTCACTTAGCGGTAAAAGAACACTATTTTTTTCACACAAAAATAACTTAAACTCAAAATTTTGTTATGAATCGATAGCTCAGAACTTAGACTTTCAGAATATGCAGGTCTTACTTCTCATCAACTACGTTCTTATTGGAAAAAAATCGTTTTTTGGTAAAGTGGTATTAAAACGACAAATTTTTGTGACTCACCTTTCTCGACGATTATTACTAATAAGCGAAAAATTTTTTTTTCCAATAAATAGGCCATAAATTAATGTATATGATTCACTATTCATAATCTTGAGAAAATTTCATCGTACTGCCCACTGATCCTTTGAAGCAAGTCGTTGATTTGAGCTGATGGTAACTTGCAACTCAAATAGACAAAAAAAGTAGGTCATGTAGTTGATAAATGTTGTAGTAAAAAGTTTCGATATTTTTCTCATTATATTCTAGGAGTGCCACAGTATAGACACAATATGCGAAAAAAGACTTCAAGTATAAAATTTACAATTTTTAATGAAAACATTTTGGAGATTAAGTAGTGTTCTCATTCTAAAGGGCGGATATTTTTATATGAATGCCCAATTAATTAAAAACTTCTCATATGGAAACATTATTGATAACTGGGAAAAACTACTTTGTATGTAGAGCATTTTCGTGTATACTCTAGCAAATTATTGAAAAATCACGGTTTCTAAAAAGAAACAGTGAGAAGGTTTATTCTTAGGTGAATAAACTGAATGAACTGATATAAAACAGAACACTCTGGATGCTTGACATCAATATATGATAACTAACCAGTAAAGAACAACTGTTGAAAAACATTTTATTATTGCAAAAACGCTAGTTATCTCATTGTCTTTTTCAATTTCCTTTTTCAATCTCGATAGGTCAATTGACTTTAATAAAAATATAAATACATAATTTAAGGAACAACATTCTATGATATTTTCATTAAATTATCCAACATATAAATGTATATTTATTTAATTAATCATGTTTTATATTAATAAGACAGCTCTTAATTACTTTTTTGCTTTTTTCTTTTTCTACAGGCTATTTTTAAGCTCTTTTATTCCATATTTTTTGTATATTCTAATTGAATTGCAAAAAATACAAATAATTAGAATATTAGAAACTTAGCTCTACTCGTCTTTTTGTTTCAATAAAAATGTAATAACCTGAATAGAGAATATTCCTTAGATATGTATATTGAAGATGTTGATTATAATTATAATCGCTCTCTCTATACAACGGTTCATTCAATTTCTGTATAAGGCGTGCAAATTAACAGTTGTAATTGTTTGCTTCAACTGAAAGAAGTGGTTATATTTCTATTTTTTGTTGTTTTTTATCGTCTTTTTTTTTGTTAATGAACTCATGTAAATGTTAATTGTTAACCTTCGTGAACAATAAATTCAATATTAAAAAAAAAAAGAAGAAACATCAAGATGTAAACAAATTAGCAGAAGATGGGTATCGACTTTTTTGATCACCAAACGTTTTTAGATACAAATGATCACCAAATTTTTCGGCATGTCTCAATTACACACAACAAATTATTCGCTTTACACAGAGAGAAACGCTGGACATGATGTGACTGCAGTGCTCTGCAGTCACTTTACAGTATGTGTCATGAATAAGCATACGATAACAATATTTTTCTTCCGTCACTTGTATTATTGAAATGAAAGCTCGGCAAAATTCTCCGAATTGGAGTTAGTATCATGTCAATGCTAGTAACATGTTAATAATGCAGCGTCAAAAAGATTTTTAATTAAAATAAAGCATTTTTTTTGAAAAATTAAATAAAATCATAAATAGACATGCAACAGTTATCGGCACAACGGTAACGGTTACCCTTAGAACGGTAACCAGTAAAATATGGAAAAATGGTAAGTTGCCGTTACCGTTGCATGCCTAATCCTAAAGTACTATGCATACAAAAAAGATAGAAAACAAAGTGTAGAATGAGTTATGCTTTATAAGGATCGTGAGAACTTCTATTTCCAAGTCCTTGACTCCGTACCGTGTGTATAAAATACAAAGTATATTTTGTAAACTGCTGCTTATTTCATTCCCTTGCAAAGAAGATTACAATAGAGATATGCAACCCGACCTAACCCCAAGGTTGGGTACGGATACGAAGTTGTCTGGTACGGGTTCTATTTTTTTTTAATTTATCCGAAAACTGGAAAGGTTCTAGTGGAAAAAGCCACAAAATTTTAGTGAAAAAATACAGGAGTTTAGCTGAAATACATGAAGGTTTAAAAGAGAATTACTTGAGAACGTAATGATAATTTGACATGTTCAGCCGAAAAACAAAAGTTTTTAGCTGGAAAACAAAAAGAAGAAAATTTTTAGATATGAGCCGGGTACGGGTCGGGTACGTGTACGAAAATGGTACCCATGCATATCTCTAGACTACAATTACTAATGAATCTTTTCGGCCGAATTTTTAGGACCATAAAGCGAACTAGATAGAAAATACAACAGCAAAATATGATCCAAAATTATATTTCAAATGTACTGAATAGACAAATAGTCTAATAAAACAATCTATTGTCCCACTCACACGATAATTCATTTAGCTTGCCGTTTCTTTAAATAGAAATGAAAACCTGAACACATCATTAAAAAAACAAATGACAATTTTGTCAAAGAAATTATAATAGTGTTAATTCACAGGCAGAAAAAAACTGTAATTACAAATAGAATTTCTACATCAATATGTGAGCTAAATCAAATGTAAAATCTTTTAGTCTAAGTATCCATCAGTCTTAATTTGATAGACAAATGACTCTATCAAAGTTATCATTGAATCTAAAAGTTTTGCTTTATTTCCATTTCGTTGATGTTTAATATTCATCCGATCGAACATTTTTAATTACTGAAAAATGAACTAGAAAACTTTAGAAATATCTAAGAAATCGTCGTGAAACTTTCTTTTATTCTTCGAAGAGATTTAGTGGTCAATTTGTAGACATTTGCATAAGTAACATTATATTGTTTCATCATTTGGTTACATCCATATAAAATAGATGTATTTTCTAATCTCCAGTCGACGTTAAGTAATTATCAAAATATTTTTTTCGATTCCAGATGTGGAATGATTTAAGAGAACAATTATCATGTACTCAGGAAAGTAGATTTCTTCCACTGTAATATAAGTAAAAACAAATTTTTAATTAACGTGCATTTTTTCTTATATATTATGTAACAAGTGTGCAAAAATCTTAATTATATGAAATTAGAATTAAGTATCAATTGAGACATATTATACGTGCCTGATAGACTGACTTATACGTCTTCCATTTATTAACATAAAAATAACTTTTTCTGACAATGACATCAAAACAATATAAATTATAAGTTTTTATTTATTATTTAAAAAACATTTCTATTTTTAATTCCCTCAAGAAGGATAAGAAAGAATTTGTTTTGTTCTTCTATCATCAAAATGTAGACACGAAATGAAGAATATGGTTATCTGACTTTGAATAAATAAAATTAAAAAATATATTTATTCCATGTTTTTTGGAAAAGAAAACTCTTTTATTAAGTAATGATTTTCTTCAAACAGCGAGAGATGCTTCATTAATTAATTTTCATTTACAACAACACATTGATGTTTATAAACAATATGTTTCACAAGAGATAATTAGTGTAGTTTAAGTCACATGAACAAAACTTTGCACTTTAAAAACGAATGATAGACAGTACTATTTCAATCTAGTCTAATAAATATGCCTAGGTCAATGAATTCTATGTAGGATCCTACAGATGCTAGGATATCATAGGATTCCTATAGGAATCTTATGAATTTCCTATAAAAATCCTATCATAAGTTTATAATCTTATATGAATCTTACCATAGGATCGCAACGAAAATCCTACTAGGATTCTTATTGTAGGATTCCTATAAAATTCTGTGAAATCCTACGACATG